TGTTTTTCAGTTTCCTGTTATGCACATTAACTTTTAAGAAATATTTTTAAAATCTGTAAAAATTTTACTTTGAAACAATTATTTAGGGACTTCCCTGGTGGTGCAGGGGACTCCATGCTCCCAATGCAGGGGGCCGGGGTTCGATCCCTGGTCAGGGAACTAGATCCCACATGCATGCCACAACTAAGAGTCTGCATACCACAACTAAGGAGCTTGCCTACCGCAACTAAGACCCGGTGCAACCAAATAAATATTTTAAAAAGCGATTATTTGCTGTAAACAAAGGTGGACTCACACCTCGACAAGATCTTATTTTAAATCATTCAAGGGTGAGTGCCTCTGCTGTGCCTGGCACAGTTCTACGCACGCAGGATACACAATGAACAAAGCCAAAATCCATGCTCTCAAGGGGCTTACACACCACCTGAGCATTTGAGATTTTCTGTGTGTCTGTCTAGACTTTTTTAAAATCTGTACTTTTGCAAACGTAGAGGAATAGGAATCAGATTAATTTTCTAAACAGCACCCAGGGAAGGCAGGCAAATTTCTCTCTGTGTGTGATATTCATCCAGTGAACTAATACAATTCTGTGGCCTCCAACTGCAAATCAAATTTTCTGTAGGTCCTCTCTCTGGAATAGCTGTTTGGGGGTCACTTGTAGAAAGGGGTAAGTATCCATCAAAGAAGCGGACTATTTTGTGTTAATAAAAGATGGTTTCTATCAAGTTGCCGCTGGTGATGTTTTTTTCTGAAACAATGATATCATCCTAAAAACATCATAACGATGAATTCACACTGTTCTGTTTTACTCAAATACTTGGTTCTTAAGAGGATCTGTTGGACCCGGCAGCATGTCTAAGCTAAAAACAGTAAAGCAAAAGTTTTCATTGATCCTCTCCACACGCTACTGTGCTAAATGGAATTACCGTATGATTGACTCCAAATCTTTTTGCTGTCGGAGGCGACACGTGGTAAGTAAGAGAATGGCTTTGGAGCTGGGTTGGGTTTGAGGCTCACTTCCAAAGCTTCCTAAGTGTGTGACCTTGGGCAGGTTCATCTTGCTAAGCCTCAGTTTTCTTCTCTCTCTAAAAGAGGGATATAACAGTCTCTACCTTCAAGAGCTGTAGTGAGGATTAAATGAAACTGTGAATTAATACCTATCACATAGTAAATGCTCAACCAGTGATCACGTTAATTATCTGTCTGGCATGGGCTGAGCAGCGACGGGGAGGGGAACTGGATTCTTCCCGTTTTATCCTTAGGGTTGGGAGAAAGAGTTCTGGGTTCTGAATCAGAAAACCATACTGTTGGTTCTGCCACGAACTGGCTGTATGACTTTGGGCGAGTGACCTTCCTTTTCTGAGTCTGTTTCCTCATTTATTAAACAAGATAAAAGCCAACATTTGTTGAACGTCCAAGGGATAGCCTTATGTGTGGTATTACATGTATTAAATCATTGATCCCTCACAGCAGACCCGGGTGGGAGGCGCTATTATTTTTCCATGCACAAACAGAGCTGTTAACACTCGGGGGGACAGGAAATACTTGCCAAAGGGCACACAGCAAGTGAGGGGCAGCTCAGGACTCAAACCCAGGCAGCCTGGCTTGGAAGCCTGGGCTGAGGAATGTGGCCGTTCACACCAGGTTCAGTGTCACACACCCCATCCCAGCATTATTAGTCTTTCAGGAACCTTAGTGATACACTGTTCAGCTTTTCCCGTTTGACAAATAGTAGAAATTAAGACCTGAGCAGGATAAAGAACTTATTCAGGGTCACACAAATTAGTGGCCTAAGTGGACCAAGAACCCAAGTCTCAGAACGCTTCCGGCCCAGAGAGTCAGAGGTCCGCCCCTGAGAGTCTTTTCAAAAACGAAAAACTGCACTTTCATTGTCAGTTTGCCTGGGGTAACTGTTTACACCTTAGTCTGATCACAGCCCTACTTTCCTCCTATTTTCGTAAATTCTGAGGAGCTGACCCCAGTCACTTGGTGGCCGGGGCTTCATCAGCCCCGCCAACAGCTGAGAGGAGGCACCGGGGAGTCAGAATGTGTTTCCTGCTCATCAATACAAGACAGGACGTGCCAGTTTCTTCTGCGCGTTTCTGCAAAGAACCGCGGGCTCTCTGTGGACCCTCAGCAGGGGGAGGCGTGTGGGAGCAGCCCTCCGGCCTCTTGCCCTGCACTGGAGGACAGGCGTGGATAAGCTGTCACCCAGCGAGGCCACAGGTCTGTGTCTCCACCTACCACTGCGCCTCTGAATGCGGTAAATTAAAAAGTGGATACCTGTTAAAAATCCGTGGGTTCAGAAACCTCGTGTGCTCTGCACATTCCCACTAGGACTCTCCCAGGCTTGTTGCTGTTTCGATTCCTCGGGGAACAGGAAGGTCTGTGCGGTAGCTCTCTGTGTGGTCAGGGGAATCTTTGAGGGTCCTTGAGACATTTTTTCAAGAGATCCACTAATAGCAAGACGTTACGTGCCTTTTTCACTTTAATTCTCTCTGGAGTTTTGCGGAGCCTCCCCGCACGGCGTCTGACGTTATGACAGACCACAGAAACCCGGATGAGAACCCAGCTGTCTGCTATTAAGCGGGATGTGCAAGAGATTTGCAAAACTGGAAAACGAATCCACTCTTTTATGGAAAACATGTTCATAAAAATGTTACTTCTGTTAACATGTTTTCCATACAAGAGTCCTCTATGCTTAGATCCTGTGTTTGGGGACGAAAGGAAACTAACCAGAACTGGTCCACAGCATGAATAAATCATTAAACCAATCAATCAATCAGTCAGTCTCCCAGGTGGTCTGCACTCCAGCTGAGCCTTCCCTCTCCCCTAAAGCAAGCTGCCTCATCTCTGGTCCACAGGCACTAGATGGCTCCCAAGGGCCCTTCTGGTTTCAGCAACTAAGACCTGGGAGCTCTCCTTTGATTATAACCAAGCAGGACCCTATGGGGCCTTTCTGGGACAGATACCCCTTACCCTCTGCCACCTCTTGTCTGCAGAAAAACTTTAGCCAAAGAATAAATTTAATAAGACAAGAAAATGCAGAAAGAAATGCAAACAGTCAAAGAAGACAAAATAATCATAGTTTTAACCATTAAGGAAAGTCAAGGACATTTAGTTCCTCCTCAAGGGCTACAGATAATATTCTGAGCCACATCCTTTGAGCTGTTTTACAGATACTGAAACCTCCACCAGGTGGAAGAAGTTACCTACATGATGACCAGACTGTGGCCATGACATGAGCTGCTCCATCTTGCACAATTCCAAGAACTGGCCTCAAGGAAATGGGAACAAAGCGACCCTGGAACTGAAGATTAACTGTACTTAAAACAATCAAGATGATGCTGATCAGACCTCTGCATGACCAATTTCAAGGTGACTGTTGGCGCTGACTGTGCTGTCCTGCACGTAGCCCCCCACCCACCTGTGCAACCCTAGAACTCCCCTTTAAAAGCTCTTGCCCCTGATCAACAGTGGGGAGTTGGTTCTTTGGGACATGAGTCCACCTTCTCCCCAGGATTGCTGGCTTCCTCAACAAACCTATCTTTCCTTTTACCCAACAGTTGTCTCTCAGTATTGGATTCTTGAGTGACAAGCCGCAGAACCCGAGTTTGGTAACAAGATAGGGACTCCACACCACTTGCCAGTGTTGATCTTTTCTGAATGTTCATGAAACAGGAACCATAGGCACCCAACAGCATTGCAGGGACATTCAGATATGACAGTGAATGTGGAAATCCTGTGAAAATTGAAAAGCACTGGATACATATGAACTTGAACAAAGACCTGAAAAGCTAAGCATAAATATGGACACAACATACAAAAGATAAGATAAAATCGCAAGTGAGACACTTGTCAAAATGTTCTGAGATACATTAATTTTTATCTATTGGAAACCCCCCCTATAAGCAACTATATGCACAAAAATCTCAAAAGACCGAAAGCAATCTATGTCAATGGCATGGGCTCAGGAATTTGCCCTTATTCCCTGTTTAAAACCCATCAGATTTCCCTGTGACTATAAAAATGACACATGGTCTTTGTAGAAAATTTGAGAGATAGGGTAAAGCATGAACAGGGAAATAAAAATCACCCATAATCCCACCACCCAGAGATAACTATTAAGATTTTTGGTATATCTCTTCTATGCTTAAAAAAAACCCTGTAGGGCTTCCCTGGTGGCGCAGTGGTTGAGGGTCCGCCTGCCGATGCAGGGGACACGGGTTCGTGCCCCGGTCCGGGAAGATCCCACATGCCGCGGCACAGCTGGGCCTGTGAGCCATGGCCGCTGGGCTGCGCGTCTGGAGCCTGTGCTCCGCAACGGGAGAGGCCACAACAGTGGGAGGCCCGCGTACCGCAAAAAAACCCAAACAAACCTGTATTTGTGTTTTTACATGATTGGTATCACGCTAAACACAGTTTCACTTAACATCACATTAGGAATAGTTCTCCAGGACATCACAGATTCTTTGTGAATATGAGTGTAAAGGCCACTTCTGGTTCAGCCCCACATGAGAACTGAACGTTTGTAGCAGGCTGGGCGCCATGCTGCCTGGATGGGGAATAAAGGAGACACCAGAAAAGCAGATGCGGGAGACCCGAGTCCACAACACTGATAAATTAGGGGCTGATCTCCTGTGGGATTGAGTTCCGGCTCAGAGCAGGCTCCTTCTAAACGAGGGAATTTCCCTGCTTCACTCTAGGATGTGCTGGTGAATTTCTTTCATCTGAGATCAGGCCTGGCCAGCGTCAGTGGCAGAAGGCTCTCATGTGAAGGTCAGCCAGGATAGAAAGTGTTTCTGAACTGACACTGACAGTCAGTGGAAAATGCAGCTCTATTTGCTCTCTGGCTACTTACACCTTTTCCGGAGGGAGATTAGCAAGAGTCAGGGTCCCCGAGTAAGACACTGCTCCAAGCGGCTTTGGGCTTTCAGCTCTGTGGCTGAGTGAGGGTCAAAAAGCAAAACCAAATGACAAAAAAAGAAATCACACCCAGATAGTTGGTAAAGATAGCACTTTAAAGTCACCTGGGGTCTTCACATGACCAGAAGTCCCAGCCGTTGCTGGGGTGTCATGTTGGTGTGAAACTAGCAATGAGGAGAGAGAGGAGAAAAAGGGGTGGGGGTAAGGGATGCCCAAAGTGTCATTCTGTGAGGCTCGGATTGTCAAGTTCAAAGTGCTCTTGCCTTTCTTCCTCTGGAGAGCGCTCCTTACATCATGGAGTAAGCGACGACAAAATAGTTAAACTCTGAATCGATCAGCCTTCTGTACTTCCTGTAAATTTCCCGCAGTGTCCTGTCCTCTTCATGCGTCTCATATCTGTTTGTATAAATTCTCACCTGTGCCGATAGACAAACACCCCCGCGTGTGTGCACACACACACACACACACACACACACACACACACACACACAGTGGCTACATCACCCAGACCCCGAAGACAATCTGAATGATACACACGTACACTTGTTGGCAGAACCAGGAAAAGCCCAAACCCAACTAAGGATGAAAGCTCCAGATTCCCTTCCGTGAAATTGTTAACTTCCAATGGACAGACTTGTGAGACGTCCACCCCCCATGCCCTGCCTCACTCCTGACCTTCATCCCAGAGCAGGAACGCTGGGGCTGGACGCCTGCCCACCCAGGGCCCTGGATGCCCTTGCCCGATCCCCGTGGAACCCACCCCGGGCGGGCTCTTACCTTGAGTGTGCGCAGGGCACACCGCCCTTCTTCCTGACTCTTCAGGATCTGCTCCACAAACTTAACATCAAGGAAAGCCCAGATTTTGAAGGAAAACAACTCCCTGCAGGATAAGATGAGGAGGTGCAGCTCCTCGTCCAGAGACTCATGGTTGTTGTTGAACTCAAAAGTTAATTTCTGGAAAAGCACCAAAGGGGAAGATGGATGTGGACAGAGATGCTGGGACTGGCTGGATCATTTCCTAACACTTTCATGACCTGGCTTTGGCCTGGTAGCCCATGGTGCTTTAGATAAGGGGCACTGGACAAGCAGTAGTCGGAAGGAGGGATTTGGGAATGAAAGTGATCTCATCCAAATTTATGAAACTTGGAGTTTCAAGGCAACGTATCTGGAGTCTGGAGACCAAAGTGGTGGTCCTGGCCCCGCGATGGACTAGCCAGGTGACCATGAGCAGCACCGAATAGTTATGATGTCTGCCTGCCCACTTCAGGGCTGTGTGAGCGTAAATGAGCTCTTAGCACTTTGTCATCCCTCACTGTTAGTAGTGGTACTTATACGCTTGAGTATCAGTCCTCACAGCCTTCTGAGAGGTCTCTGGGGGGGGGACACAATGATCCCGATTTTATAGATGGGGAGCTGCCCACACCTCTGAGCTCTTCTGTAACTTGGGTCAAATTTGGCTTTTTGTCTGGTTTGGAGTCACACTGGGTCCTGTGTGCTGCTGTGACTGCTTCTCACCTGTAGACGCACCTGCATGTCCAGGCCTCACAGCTCTGAGCCAGGGATATAGGAGCTCTCCTTGGTCGACAGCCAATTAGGAATTGGTTCCACGTATAGGAAGTGAGCGGTAGCTTTTGTCCTCTGCTGTGGTCTTGGGGACCAGGGGAGGCTTAGTTTGGTGACGTTTCCCAGAACCTCAGTTTGACCTTGAGTGAGTGTGTGCAAGCCCAGCCAAGAGCAGGTAGCAGGAACCTGAGGGGCAGCCACTCCTCACAAGCCTCCCAGCCCTCGGCTCATACCTACCTGCAGAGTGTGCCGGAAGGTGGGCAGGAGATCCGTCAGAGTGGGCTTCATGGAGCAGTCGGGGCTGCTGAATGAGCAGTTTCTCAGACTGATGCTCCTGATTGGGATCTCGTGCAGGAGGATCCGGGCCAAGCGTTTATACTTCACGACTTTCTCAAAGGAGAAGCTGACCTTCAGGTTGGTGGCATACCTGGCCAGCTTGGCCCAGGACACGCCCCAGACGACCTGCCCGTGGGGGTCGTGGATGTGGCACTTGATGTTCATGCTCCAGAGCGTGCCGGCATTGTTCTCACACAGGTTCTCCAGCAGCTCATCGGAGATGCAGTTGTAGTTGAGGGTCAGGGACACCAGGCTGCGGAACGTGGCCATGGTCTTGTTGAACTGGGGGCTGCTGTAGACAGCGAGGTGGTGGCTGAAGAAGTCCTCGATGTTGAGCTCCGACACCACATTCTCTTTCCTTAAGCAGCTCAGGGAGTCGAGGATGTGGCAGCCCTGCTCCACGGTGAGCCTAGCCCCTTTCAGGCTGAGATAACCCAGGTGTTTGCCCATTTTGTTCAAGAATGAGCTCAAGCTTTTCAAGAACAACCTTCTGATGCTGTTCCTCCAGACCAGGCGGTCCAGTTCCAGGTGCTGGATGGAGAGAGATTTCAGACGGTTGTTTCTCTTGCCCAGACACGAGAGAAGGCCTTGCATGGTGACCTGGAACTTCCTGGTCAGGACAACGCTGTAAGGATTCAGGAATTTGATCTCCAGGTGCTCCAGATAACGACCAAATTTCTTAACATACCAAACAGCCGACTCAAATTCGTACGCGTGTACCCTGGAAGGTCTCCCACTAAACGTGATGGTCCTGTATCGCCAGAGGTCAGCCGAATACATCATCTGGTTCCACTTTCTGCAGACAAGGGCTGCTCTGGACCTGTCCTCGTCTCCTAGCCACCAGAAAATACAACGTAGGCACACATCGGGCAGGGTGGCCCAGCAGCTCTGGTCTTGAGGCTGGATCAGTTGGCTTTCTTCGTCCATCAAGGAACCGGGATGTCCACTGCAGCTGTGTGGTGGGCAGGGCTTCCAAAAATGAGGAAAGAAAAGCAATCACTTGTTTTCTGTGGGGAGTAAAAAGGAAGAGCCATTACCTGCCAAACACATATTAAACCCAATGGAACAAACTTGCACTATGGCCCCATGTGTAGGTACTGGGCTGGTGCAGGGGGTGCAATGATAAATCCACCGTACTGTGCACACCTGCAAGGAGTCACAGCCCATCAGGGGTCTAACAGGGACATAGACCAGGACTCAATGACAGCACTGTGGGAGACATGAAAATCCTCAGGCGTATTCATGGTGTAGGGTGGCACAAACGGGGGTATTAGTTCTGTCTGTGTAAGAAAAAGTAGAGAGGGCTGCTCAGAGGAGGTGGCATCTGAGCTGGGTTTTGCAGGGTGAGTAGGATTTGCAAGGCAGACAGGTTGGTAGTGGAGGAACTGGTATATTCCAGGCAGAGGGAACAAGATGGGCAAAGCCACAGAACTGTGAGTATGCGTGATGTGTTCACATTCACGGAACTAAAAATTGCTTGGAGCTTAACTTGTGAGGGTCAGGGAGTGACGGAACTGGAGCTGGAGCAGTGGGAGGTGCTGGTTCAAGGGCATCATTCAAGATGCTCTGAATGATGTGATAAAGGCTGTGTCCTACAGCCAGGGATTGTCACTGTCCCCTCTCCCTAAGACTTTGGAATTCTGACATCTTCTCTGGATGAGAATCAGTGTCTGTGTTGAGCGACATTGCTGATGGCTGTGTTTATATTCAAAAGGTGCAGCAGCAGAACAAAGGTGGAGAACCTCAGCTGAGGTCAGGGCAGGTCGAAGGATCACACGCCCAGAAGTGACGTGGTCAGTCTTGAGGTAAAGAAAGAGTACTCTGGGGGAATGGAGGAAGGATGGTCCATAGTAGAGGCCAGGCTTGAAGCCTGGGACTAGGGTGGTATTATAGTGGGAATCAGGGTGGGTAGTGAGTTCTTTGGCAGACATGATTTGGTAACTGGTGAACACCTGAACCGGGAGGACTGAAAGGTCTCTGACTTGGCTGTTGGATTGCAGGTGGTATCCCCAGCCAGGCTAGGGAGTCCCAGGGAAGAACTGGGCTAAGGCCCCGCCAGATACACTGAGCCCTCGGTCAGCCTTTTCATAGCCATCTGCTGTAATCTTCATGGCTTTGCTTTCAATGTTTCCCCTGCCTGGGAACTTTATGTCTCCCAAACCCCCCATTTTTAAAGTTCAAGCCCTACCACTCCATAAAGCTTTTATTGGCTTCTTTACCAGGTAACCCAAGATCATTCATTGTGGTTCACAAAAACTCAGAGCTGGAAGAGATCTGAGAATTGATTTTTTTTTTTTTAACCCGTGGAAACTAGGCACAGAGAGGTGAAGGGGCTTGCCCATGGTCACACAGCAAATTAGTACCAAGACTCAGGCTAGACCTGGGCTTTCTTACTCTTTCTCTTATACTTTTTTCCTACCTCCACTTTTCAGGCCTTGGGTTCAGAGGGACAAGTTAATCATAATTTTCAGTTCAGGACAGACACTTGTCTGTGCAAGACCTCTCTTTGATTCTATTTATTCATTTATTCCCTTTTAATTCTATGTCCCACTCCATTGCTCCCCACCACAGGCAACTATTCCAGTGTGTTTGATGTGCTGCTTTTTGTTTGTGTGCGTGCTTGCCAAATGTGTGTTCAGCGTCTGTAAGCATCATTCACGTTGCCCCGTGTACGTCTCACACGGCATCTGTCATCTGAATAGACCCGGTGGTGGGTATCCCCTTCTCTCTCTTACCCACTCTCCCTGTGATGGACCCCCAGGCCTCTTCCAGCTCCCCCCAACAGCACAGTGGCGATGAGCATCCTCAAGCAAGCTCCCATAGGGGACCTATTTTGGGGTCTTCCCCCGTGCCTCTGTCCTCCCTACCCCATGATCACCTACAGAACAATTTGGCCCCTGCCTCCAGCCGGCCCTCCCATCTCCCACCCAGACAGACTTCCACACGAGAACTGGTAGCAGCCTGCCCCCACCCAGGACACAGGGCTCCAGTGGGGTCAGCCGGCTCCCCTTCTCTTTCCCCTCTCTCTCTCAGTGTCCATCCTTAGTATAATCTAAGCCTTTCTCTCCCAGAAACCCACACACTCCTTGAGACTAGGGATAGCCTCATTCTTCTTTTGAGGAAGTTCTTAAACATTTAACTAATGAAGAAATAAGATTGTGTCTTCAATCACATATAAACTGCCCGGGGCTAGGGGACTCCACGGCACTTAGTAAGGAGCAAGCCACCTAAAAGATGCTCAAGAAAAGCTAAACCAGGGAATTCCCTGGCCGTCCAGTGGTTAGGACTCCTCACTTCCACTGCAGGGGGCACCAGTTAGATCCCTGTTCAGGGAACTAAGATCCCACAAGCCTCCCAGAGCGGTCAAGGGAAAAGAAAAGAAAAGAAAAGAAAAGAAAAGAAAAAAGCTAAACCAGTTAGAAAGCTAATCGAAGCCCTTTGACTCGGCAAGGTCACAGGGTCTGAAGAATTATCAGACACTTTAAGCCATGGGGGGCAGGGGGATTGGAAGAACATCTTTGGTGGGCTGGAAAAGGTGTTGCAAGTGGTCCAAAAGTCATGTCACCGCCTGGAACCTCCCCTCTTGTAGCTTGGTGTGTTGTATCCTGGTTCTGTCAACTGCGGTACGTGACCTTAGGCAAGTTAATTAATTTATTTATGCCTCAGTCTCCACATCTGTAAATATGGGTAATAATAGTACCTTTCTCCTAGCGTTGGGGGGATTAAACGGGCTGATATACGGAAAGCACCAGAACAGTGCCTGGCACACAGTAAATGTTATACAAGTGTTTGCTGCCATCAGAAAGTGGGTGGCAAGGTGCCTCCAAAACATCCCTGTAGGGAAGGTATTTACAAATGGTAGGTTAGGAAAGTGTCCCGGTGAGATGGCGTGCTAGGTGGGGAGCGGGATTCCAACCCAGCCTAAGGACGCTGGAACCTAGGCTGGGTTTACCACGTCACACAGCTGCCAAGCCTGGGAGGAAACCTGGGTGTCCGATCACCCGGGGAGGGGAGGTGGCCCAGGAGCCTCGCAGGGGCGGCAGGTGATAAGGGCAGCCCCGCACCCCCGCGCTGGCCTCGGGCCGTCCCCGGCCTGCGCCCGCTCGCGCCGCCTTACCCGCTGCTCGGCGCGACC